GAAAAAGAAGTTAGGACTCCCCAACCCCTCTTGCTAGAGCGCGATTTTCAATGGTTTAGAGTGAATTTGAAGATTCTAACTTCTTGGGTAAGTTTTGTCTCTCATTTTTCAACCTTTGTCATTTATTGACCTACTTTTTTGAATAAACTATGTACAATGAACCTTTCATCTTTTATCATCCATGCACATTTTTTTTTAACTGGGCGCTTCTGACCAATTATAGAAAGTAATATAATCAACACATCAAGTCAATTCAAATTTCTTGATTTATTGATAATGACTGGTCTTAGTCATCAAGCACGTGCTTTGACAAAGCTGAAAATCAAATAAAGAAAAACGAGTCTTCTTAGGAGACATGTAATAGTTTTATAAGCCTCAGGTGACTATACATACATATTTTTAAACGGCATTTCATATAGATAAATTTGAACAAAATATTAATATATATATATATATATATTCAAATTTATAGAAATATGTATATGTGAGTGTATAAATTCATAATTAAAAAGTTACATAATGAAAATCTAAGAATTTTGTCAGTAAAAATTGTAAAGATTTTATGAGAATATTATACATACATACATATATATATATATATATATATTAAAGTTCCCATAAAATCTTGAAGTCATTACGCCCAAGGTGACATCCACAGCTAGCACATTCCTTTTTTTTTTTTTTTAGTAAAAATTGATAACATAGCTCAAAGGAGATCACATAGTAGTTCCCACACTAGGCCATCTCTTATTATCATCCACCTCCCTATAGTAAGTTGGGGTTGATCATAAGAGCAAAAAGAACCTGTCAAACTAGTAGCAAAATTAGCTAAATTATGATCACATATATTGGCTTCTCTGAAAATGAAATTTAAAGAAGCATGACTACTCCTAAACAGTAAAAATCTAGCATAATCAATAATGTCTCTATAAGAGTGCTTAGATGAATCTAAGCGAGTGATGATATTAATTGCCTTAGCACAGTCAATATAGACTTTCACCTGTTGAAAACCATAACTTGCACAAATTTCCAAACCTAACATGATACCTAAGACTTCAGTGATCGCAGGAGGGTAGCTACCAATAATTGAGTTGAAACCCACCGCCCAATTCGCTGAGCAATCCCTTATGACTCCACCACATCATGACTTGCCCTCCTTGAACGATCCATCAACATCTAATCTTACTGCCAATGCATCAGGTTTCCTCCATCTTGTTAGAGATATTCTTAGACTGATGCCTCAAGCTATGTGATATGTTAAGTATTCGAAAGTCATTCCTGACACGAAAAATAGCTCTTGTATTATAAATCTCTTCTTCTTTAACATCCGTAAAGAAGAGTTTTTGTGTACCAAGAGCACCAAATATCCCAGCACATGTACCCAAACAAGATATTCCATGGCAAACGCACCTTCCATTTCTTTACTACCTATCTCATGTTTCAGATTCCAAAATACCCAATTAGTGTCACTTAACCTCTTAAATTTGTCCCATTCACCTTCTTTAACTAGGTCCTTCCATTTAATATCTGCATGTGGACAGTCTCGAAGTAAGTGCATGATATCCTCAGTTTGCCCACAACCTAACGGACAGAGATCAGATTCTTGTAACCCTCTACATGCACTCAGTTCTGCCGCGTGTACTTTACCCTTAGCTGCCAACAAGATGAATCTTCACTTTCTCAATTCCTGACCTGCTCCAAATTTTGCTCCATAATTCCTCAGCTGTTGATGATGTACCTGCAGTGAGAAATTTGTATGCTTACCCCGTCGCTATCATAAAAAACACCAAAGTCGTCTAGGCATCCATGTCATTCACATCACTATGTCTAACATGACATTAGCAGCACATTGGTTAGCCTAAACGAGACGGCAGATGGACAATGAAAGAATACAAACAATTTTTAGGTTTTTATAATTTTTAATGTCAAAATAAACTTTCTTAATAGCAAGGTATTCAATGTATACCATTTTTAAAATTTAAAATACTGAAAGAAAAAATTATATCACATGAAAGTTTAAAATATTAACATTCCTAAACGAATAGTCAAATGGCAAAAAAACTATTTAGCCTAACATTAAAATTTTAATGTTTTTAATAATTTATTCAAAACCAGCAATCCTTTTTTACAATAATTCTCAAAAATAATCTGCTAATTAACCATCCTAACAATTCTTTCAACATATTAAATTTTAAGACCATATAATGTTATAAAAAATAAAAATGGTTCTGTTCACTTATTTGTTGCCCATAATTGAAAATATATTCACATTATTCTTCCATGACTTTATTGATGTGAACGTCCCGAACTCTTTACAATACTCAATGTAAATGACAATAATGTTAGTTGACTATAAGTCATTATCAAAAGCTTAGAGTTCTATTCAGATTAGGGATTTAAAAGCCAATATTGAATGGTTGTTTAATATAACCATCCAATATATTAACTACATATTGGACAATTACATAATTAAACCGTAATATTAAAGAATTTAAAATCTTTAACCCCATATCGGACGGTGTTTGAAATAATCACTCGCTATATGTCTGTAATATTGGATGAATACTATTTTCATCTAATATGCTTTTCTATCTCTACTTATTAGATGGTTGAACAATATTCTTCTGATATTAAGATGTATCATATATAAGTAATTTTGTAACAGTGTAAAAAAAGTCAAAGTCTACTCATCAGTGTCATTCAAATCACTATCTAATATGTCATTAATAGCACAATCGGTTGCCTGAAGGAGACCGCGTGCGTTGAATAATGAATGCATACAAAACTAAATTTGTCGGATGCTCACTATAATAAAATAATGAATGGGACCGGGCTATAGATTAATGTGTTGGCTGGTTGTTAAAAAAGTCATTCCCTTGTGGACGAATCTTTGATTTATCATATTTCATCACTATGAGGATGATAATATTACTTATATGATGTATTAAAAAAATTACTTAAATGAATTTTTATTAAACTTTTTACCTATATAACATTAAGAGCCCCGAGATCTGAAAAGTTCATAACCTGAAATAGGTCTTGATAATAAGCAAAAATAAAAGACAAGAACGCTATATATATTTTTTAATATAAAATGACTATATATTTTTTTTATATAAAATGACTATTTACACTATATATAATGTCAATAAATTATAACTGTAAGCAAAAGACAAAAAAATTTGAAGGTGACACTATAATAAAAAGAAAGAAAGCTTATGGGCCTTTATCAAAGCGTTAGGGTTAAAACGCTCCTAAAAATTGAGGCAAGACGTAAAGACAATCACTCAAGAAGATGCATACTATGGGAATGCTTATTTGTAAAAGCGTTCCCATAAATGTATGCTATTAAGTTTTTTAGTATTAAAACGCTTCTAGTTAGAACGGTTCTTTTTTTTTTTTTTGTCAAAAGATATTTAATTAACATCAAAAAGAAAGGTTTACAAACAAAGTATCTGGCTTCGTCAGTGCGATCTACTTTTTAAAGGAAAAGGAAATAGAGGAGAAGGAAGAAAGTAAAGAAATAACGTCTTCATCTGTCACAGAGGTAGATGGAGCCTCTGACTTAGGTTAGAAGGGTTCCTACGGGTTTTAACATATGGGAGATCTTACATGACCTATGGGAGTGCTACCCTTTGAAATATGGGTTTTGATAGGAAAAAGAAAAAAATGAAAGAACTATAGGAATACTTATGGGAAGCGCTCCTTTTGGTTTGAAAAGAAAAATTAAAAAATCAAAGGCCTATAGAAGCATTTCACATGAAAGCAATTGCATTGGCTTTAATAAAATTAAGAATAAAATTGCAATATGAGAGTACTTTCTCATAGAAAACGCTTCCTTAGGCCACATGCAAGGAGCGCTTCTGATGGAAAGCACTCCTATAAGCTCCCTTTTTGTGAATGCCCTCTCAATAAGGGTAAACTCATGGTCATTCATAGAGGGGTAACCATTTTAGGTGATCTTGAATATCTAGTTGTTTATTGATGACCTTTGGCAAATTTTTCTATTATTTTCTCCATCACTACAAGATATTTTGGGCCATCATTTTTGACTAAGTTGTATAAATACAGAATCTTATAATAAATACATAATCTTATAATAAAGGATTAAATAGACACTTTATAAAATAAAAAGATTAAAATGAAATCTTGTGTAAAGTTAAATCATTAAATGTAAAATTTAACCCTCTTTTTATTTCTATTATTTTTGAATGCATTGTAGAGAATCAAATTTGTGCCAACAGAAGATCAAAACTGCATGCCGAAGGCCAACGTGATCTTGTTACTCTTTTAGGTGATGGCAAATAAGAGAAAATGAGAACACACACAATGGTGGGTCAATAGTTAATTAGCCGCTCTAGTAGCAATGTCACATCTCTTTCTTTGAAGAGGTCCTAGGTTTGAACTCAGTATTGATATGATTATGTGTGCGGGTGTATGTGTCTCTTTTTCTTATGACTTATGAGGAAGGACTAGGTTAGGGATAATTTTTTTTTTAAGAAAAAAAGTTAAGAGAAAATGAGAAATATAAAACTTACTTAATTGATATACAAACAAGATATACCTACTACAAACTCCCTCCCCCCCAATACCATATAATGCTTCTATAATCTTATTTAAAAGTCACTTCTAATTTATTTCTTTAGAATTAAAAAAAACTTTAAACTCATTAGCTTTATCTAAAAATTTAATAAGTCATTAACTTTACCCTTATTAAATATACATACTTAAAAAAATATATTTTCTCTCTTTAACCTTAAATGGAAGGTAAAAGAAAAAATTTATAATGAAAATTTATTAATGTAATTTATAAACAGGACAACAAACAGTTTTTCTCTACCAAAAAAACATTTTTTCTCTACCTTATAAATAGAATTAGAAGGAATATGTGAAATGACCTAATTTGTGTTGAAACTTGGAATCCATGCAATGGTGTCTTGAAAAAGGAAAACTTTTAGCATTCGTAAGGACAAATGTTTTGGATTCCACTGTGACGTGTCTCGGTGACATACACTCAACTTTTACTCTGTTCGTATCATACCCCTTCAACGACAGACAACCGTGTTCTCTATTTAGTGACAATAAAACACAGCATACACATAATTGAGCTTGTGGCACACCACCACTTTCCTCTGTCCCACCTTCTTCACTCCATGCATTATTGTGTACTCTTGCTTCTTTGTTACCTTCACCACTTCTGTAGAAAAAGCTTCCACGTGTCTCCCAAGCTTGGAAGTGATAAAATCAACCATGGATTCCAATGACGTGGCACAATACTTCTGTGCTCCTTTAACCCCTGACTCCTCACAAAGCTTAATCGTATTATTCATAACCTCAGCTTTTATTGACCCAGGCTTCGCAGCAAATTTGTTCAATATCTCAGCTATCTGGGAGCAAAGAATTACAAATACAAAAATTATCTTTTTATCCCTCTTAGTTTCAGAATATTACTGTTATTCACAGACATGGTAGAATGAGTCTGATACTGAAACTACGTACCTTGCTTGAGGAAAAGGGAATGGATTCCACGACTTCACAAGGCAGGAAGGATGCTTTGTTGGAGATTTGTGCGAAGAGCAAGTTCATTCTGTGACCAGCCTTCAAGTCCTTCTCCGAAAGGAAGAGAGTTGTGATGGCATTATCATGGAGTTTGGTCTGAGCCAGCATAACAAAACTCGAATGGGCATTCGACTCCTCTGAAGATGGTGGTGCCGACACTTGACTTGCCGGTATTAACTACTTTCTCCGGTCCTGAATATACGTATATAGTTTTTAAGACAAAATCCGCGTACCAATAAAATCCTCGTTCTTTGAAAAATACACATTGTTTTTTTCAGAAAAATATTATTTAAACTGAAAATTTAAGTTCTCAGAAAGAAAATGCCAATACTAGCCAGCTGGGTGGAGGAGATCTGCTATAGATTTAGGCATGGGTGTGGTGGGAAGCATGGACTTCCAATAAAGCTCAGGAGGTAAGGCAGCAAGTGTTACTACCAATAATGCAACCTGAAATGTTATATATTCATATATAATATGCAAATATATAAATATTGATTTGCATTAGATTAAATGGAAAAGAAAAAGGTCGGGGAAAAAAAAAGAAAGCAACTCGACGCTTACTCCGAGAAAGGAAACGATGGGTTGCAATGAAAACGTCATCATTGAAGAAACTATGTATTGAAGCTGGAAATGATAAAAGTTAATGATATTAAAGAGGAACTTATAGGAATCCTAGAAAGAGGGAGAATGTTAATCAATTATTGTATGCCCTGTGATATGGGACCCAAACTTGGATCTCAATTGACAATATACAAGCCATGTGGATAACATAGATCATATATGACTGGTCAACTTTTAAAAGAGGTAATCCATAGTTAGTTGTCTCTACCTCTCTCTTGAAAGAGGCCTTGAGTTTAAATTTAATATTGACATGTGTTATGCCTCACTTTTCTCAAGAAAAGGATTAGGTAAAAGATAAATTATTGAAACTTAAAAAAAAGTAGTAATAATAATAGTGATAAATTAATAAAATTTGAATCACTCTGATATTAGGGTTGTCAAAATTAGGGTTTTTAGCAACGTGGTAAAGTACTTGTTTTTTTTTTTAACAAAACAATATCCCCATTGAGTACTTGATAGCAAGATATGATATAAATTCTGCACTTGTGCCTCTATATCTATCCGTATCATTTCACAACCACCTATAACGATTCAAATTTTGATGGAAAATGGGACCTTTTAGGGTTGTAAAGGTAAAATTAAAACCAAAAAAGAAGTTATTACATTCGTTTGCAACAATAAGATTAAATTATAGATTTGTCTCTAAAAATTTTTATTAAGTGCAATTGATATTCTTAACTGACTAATAGTTTTCAAAAATGATGCAATATTTCTATACAGTGATATTCGATTTATGCTGAATGTTAATTGAACAATTTTTACTATGATTAAAGAGTAATTTTCTCTTAGAAGTTTTTTTTTAATGTGCAATTGGTACCCTAAACTTTCCATTAATTCAATACTTTTGGGCTATTAATATTCAAATCAAAAGAAGGGGGATATCTTATGACCGATGTCAAATAAGAAGTCGCAGAGCTATTATATGATAGTTTCATACCCAAAAAAGGAAAAGGAAAGAAAATAGAAGGAGCAAGTTAGGATTTTTTCTACTGTTGCTCTGCATAAATGCACAGATCGTAGCAAGTAATACAGAATAAGTAAAGTATCATTCGCATGAAGATTTGTATTAAAAATATGGTTAAGCAAACAACAATATGAATTCAATCAAGTTGAGTGAATCCAAAATATAATTAGTGTTTGAAATATAAATTAAATGTTTGAAAAAGTATGACTACATAGAAAAAGAAATTGATTCAAATTTTTTTTTAAAGTAATTAGGTTTAGGATTATTTATTTTCCTTTATATATACACACACACACACACACACACTTCAAGAATACTAATCAACCCTCATTATACTTTACTTTTAATGATGAATTATGTTTGTTGAATATACTCAACTACTCACAAGAGCTTTCTCAAGTTTCCAAGTAGATGTTTAGTATAATTAATCCTTGCTTAATCTCTTAATTAACTAATCAAACTTAAATTTTCCTTACAAATCCTATGTGACTATATGAGGTCAGTGAGTGTATTTCTACCTCATTAACAAAACTATACATTCAACTTACAAACTTCAAGTTCTTACACAATTTAACTCAAGTTTTATACTCAAGCTAGCTCTCTCAAACATCAATTAAGTGAATCTAACAATATAATTGATGGCCAATCAACTAGGAACATTAAGTATATAGTGAAATTAACATAATCACATCATCAATCACAAATACAAAAGGAGAAATAAGTATTTAGTTCATATAAAATGTTCAAAATAATCCTAGAATCAAGGATTTAGCTACAAATGTATATAAAACCCATGACAAAATACAAATATATCAACACAAATATTGAATAAAAGGAAAGGAAGGAGAATGGAGAACAAGAACCATGACATGAAACTAAAATCTTTTTCAATCTTTAGATCCAAGCTCAATCTTTCACTAAATCCATGCCCTAGCACACCCAAAACTCTCAAATACTCTCAAGAAGTCTAGAATGACAGCCAAAGTCAAGAATGGGTCATATATGCTTTACGACTCTAACTTTATCAGCTAAATAAAATGTTTCATTTTGTTGTTGTGAACAAAGTCACTACTTTGCCTTGTTTTGTACACTTCTCCTAATTGACAAGAGTAATCATCTTTTCACTTAATTTCTTCATCTAAAAACTTACCAATAGCATCATTAAGAGTTCAAAAATGCATCTAACTAAATCTTAAATCAAAATATTAATAACTTAATTTCAAAATACCAAAATAGAGCTATGGTTTGAATTTTCAAAACAAAATGTACATTTTTTTAATTTATGTATTCAAAATATGTACAATTGTACTATAATATATTAAAAATTCAAGAAAATGTACTTAAATAACATAAAATTTTAGAAATTAACGTCTGCTAGGGAACAATTTTTCAGTGGTTTATAGGTGAATTTGAGGATTCTAAGTAAGCCATTTCTCTCATATCATTTCTCTCATTTGTCAACCTTTCTCATTCATTGACCTAGCTACTTTTGAATAAACTATGTAAAATGAACCTTTCATCCTTTAGCATCCTTGCACATTCAATGATTTTTTTTTTGTAATTTGTCCCTTCTGACAAATTATAATATAGCAAGACAATTCAAATTTCTTGATTTATTGATTATGTGCTTTGACAAAACTGTAAATCAAATTAAGAAAAACGAATCTTCTTAGCAGGCATTTAATAATTTTATAAGCCTCGGGTTACATACAGATTTTGAAATAGATTTTCATGTCATTTTATATAGATAAATTTGAACAATATATATATAATATTCAAATTTTTATAGAATATGTATTTGTGAGAGTATAAACTCCTAGTTAAAAAGATACGTAATTAAAATCTAAGAATTTTTTCAGTGAATATTGTAAAGATTTTATGAGAACATTTAATTTATATATTTTTCAAAGTTCCTATAAAATCTTCAAGTCATTATGACATCAACTGCTTCATATAATGCTTACTCTGTCGCTATCATAAAAGAACGCCAAAGTCGCCTTGGCGTTCATTAATATCACTATGTCTAACATGACATTGACGGCACATTGGGTTGCATAGACGAGACGGCAGGTGGATAATGAAAGCATACAAACAAGTGGCTGATTTATGCAATATCCATCATTATCAGGATCATAATAATTGTTAAGTTTTTTTTATAATTTGTTAAAATTAACTTTTTTTAATAAGAAGATACTCAATATATACTATTTTAAAATGTTAAAAGAAAAAATTGTATTACATGAAAGTTTAAGGTATTAAGTATTTTTAAATGAATAGTTGAAGGATAAAAATACTATTTAACCTAACATTAAAATTTTAATATTTTTAATAATTTTTTCAAAACAATGTTTTGTTATAGTTAACATTGGCTAATGACTTGTCTATGATCACCAGCGACTGGTGGTTAATCAGTGCTAATACATGTTAACTTAATTACAATCAAGTCCCATAAGACATGAGTGTATTTGTACAAGTTCATGAAATTTTTTCGTAAATAAGTTTCTTATATAGAATCTGTCTGTAATGTTCCCTAATTAATTTTGGGAAAAGATCTGTATATTGAGTCCCATGTAACAATTCTAATTACCTAAAGGTCCCACAAAATGGATAAATAGCTTTGAAGTTCCAAGAGACTTCAGTGTAAATATTTTTTATTGTATTTTTATTGTCTAATTACTATATTGCCTATGATCTGAAAAAAAAAATGAAGCTATTATTATCGGTTGCCTTGTGATTACTCGTTGTTTTGTTGAAATTACATTTTGCTTTGTCATCAATTTCAACACTGTATAACTTATTTAGTTTAAAATAAAATTCTTCCCTCTGATAAACTATTTTTTATCTACTAGTCACCCTAAAAGTTAAAGTGGTACAATAAGGATCATGAAGTTCTAAAACTAGAAAATTACAAATAAATCCTTTGAAATTACAAATAAATCTTCTAAAAAATTTATAAGAATTAATTCCTTCACAATTACAAATAATTAAATAAAACCAAAATACCATTTGAACAACACACTTTGACAATCTTTGATCCGCTTATCAATCATCAAATCGGTGCAAAAGTGACAGTAAGTAATTGACAAAAAAAAAATATGTGTGATTTAATAATTTCGTAACGCCATTATAATTAAAAAATTCGTCGCTTGCATTTTACACGAAAAATTTTGTAAGACAAATAAATTAAAAATGTTGAAACACCATTTATCGAATTATGAACGACTCAGTCGTTGCAGAAACTTAATATATATAAATGCTCGGGACGGCCATTTCAATTTCATTTATTGCTAATTGGACCATTTCATATGGGGACCATCTTTTTTGACACATCATATATGGGAACTATCTTTATTCTCACGGCCCATAAAGATTGAGAATAAGCAGTAGAAGAAATTGCGAGAGCTTCAAAGAAAGTGAGGAAGTATACTGAAGGATGGGATATTCAGTGAGAGAACAAGTGTGGTGGGTGGTGGCGATTATTATATTATTGGGGCTTAAAGATGGTAGTAAGGCGTGTTTGGAAGAAGAGAGAGAAGCTCTTCTCAAACTGAAAGAAGCTTTCAATCATCCAAACGGCTCGTCTCTTCCTTCTTGGAATAACCTTAACAGCTCTGGTTGTTGTAGCTGGGAGGGAATCAGCTGTGACAACTCCACTCAGAGAGTGATAAGCCTTCTTCTGAACTATACAAGAGCTCAAGAGTTTGAAGACATCAACTGGTCATTGAATGCTTCTTATTTTCTCCCTTTCCGCCAACTTCAAACTTTGGATTTGTCTGGAAATTTCTTGTCAGGTCTCTCTCTCTCTCTCTCTATATATATATATATAATACTCCCCAGATATCTGTTTTATGATTTGTAACTCATGTTCATATCACCTATGCAGGCTGAATTTGAATCCTCTCATATATCATTCTTCTCTATTCATCTCAATTTTTACTTGAATAGTTAGTCTGAATTGTTATCAAAGAATGCAGTATCCATTTCTTTCCAATCGTTTAGAATATAGATTTGTGAAAAGGATCGATGTGAATTGTTGAATCAATCCAACGACTAAACTTGAAATATAAGCGATTGCATGAAATGATGGTTTTTATTTTTTTTAATTTCTTAAAGTTTAGGGATAATGATAGTTATGTCTCAAAAGGAGGAAATTGATGACAGTTAGGTCATCAACAATTTTTTTTTAAAAAACAAAACACTTGTAAATATTGATTCAAACAATTTTAAATTTAAAAGGTCTAACTGCAAATACAATATTTAAATTCTGAATATAACAATTACTTTTAATTCAGATTTCTGTTTATAATTTTTTGAATTAATATTTATAATTTATTTTATAAAAAATTTTTTTAGTGATTTAATTATCATTAAATATTTTTTTAGAACTTTGTTGTCGTTCTCCTTAAAATCAATCGAGGAGCACAATATTTAATTAATTAACAATCTGGCATACATAGGCACAAAGTTCATGTTTATCTCATCAAACGTATCAAATTAAAAACATATAATTCATTATTTAATGTCATATCATGTTTAACACATATTGTATTTATGTTTTATGGAGAAGTTTAATAGAGAAATTTATCTCATCAAAAGTATCAAATATATATATTTAATAGGCACAAAATTTAATATATATATATATATATATTAAACTATATTTCATGGTATAAAAAAATTAAATAGAGAAGGGATCACACAAAGTCAGATGATAACTTTGAATTCATGTTCTTGTAACATTATCTTAGAGCTCGTTTGTTTCAATTCTCAGATCTTATTGGAGATGTAATAGAAAGTCAATGACAGGACCACTTCTGCTCCCATCTTTGACTTTGTGGTATTTCTCTAAAGATCTGAGAATTGAACCAAATGAGCTCTAAGAGCAACTGATGATATTTGTTAATGGAGCAGGGCTACTTGGAGAAATTAGATTGGACAACTTGCAAACTTTGTATCTGGAAGACAACAAGCTCACAGAAGTCCCGTTCCTTGGTGCATAATTTTTATTTTCCAAATTATTTTTTGATGCCATATTTAAAATTTCTTGTGATCTCCTTGGTTTCTTTTTTTTTTTTTTTGGGAGAGATGAATTGAAGTTTCATTAGAAATCGTTGAGAATATCGATAGTTGGATAAGATGCTGCTTTTACTTAATATATGATGGTAACATGACTGAAAGTAAAAGAACAGGGATTATTGAATCATTTAGTACCTTGATCAATGAATTTTGACATCTATATATAAATTAAGAAATAGCGTAACCAACCTTAAGGATATAATGGCATCTATAAATAAATTAATTTTTATTCAAAAAGGAACATAGCATGCAAAGAAAAGAAAAAGGACGTAAAACTTGTATACATGTGTGTTATTTCCTTATTATCATATTTTTAACATATTTCTATATTATATTTGACAGGTGTTTCTCATTCAGACAATTCTCATCTATAAATAAATTAATTTTTATTCATAAAGGACTATAGCATGCAAAGAAAAGAAAAAGGACATAAAACTTGTATACATGTGTTTTATTTCCTTATTATCATATTTTAACATATTTCTATATTATATTTGACAGGTGTTTCTCATTCAGACAATTCGAAGACTTTAGAGGGTAGTCTTCAACAATCTAATGCGTCTCTTACATCTCTAGCCTCCTTGCGGACGTTGTCCTTTTATAAAAATAGCCTGGAAGGCTCCCTACCACAACAAGGTATTATATGATCTGCAGCTTTCTTTTTTAAAAAAAAAAAATTAGGGTAAGGGTATTTTTTGTAAGGCACAAGGTTATAATCTCATCGACTATAAAGATTAATCTTTAAGGGCAAACAATAAAGAACATGGGACTTGATAGTAATTTTATAATTTCATGAGAATTTTTTTTTTTGTATTTAGATTACTTGTGTGAGATCTTATATAATAATTTTCCCTAAACAATATTTATTGAGATTGAAAGAAAAATATTTAAACAATAGTTTTGCATCCCTTCCTATTTTTTGTTTATATGGTCTCCTAACCTACCTACCTACATACATACATACTAATCTAGCCTTACGTCACATCTCACATCAGAGAGATTTGTGAAGGGTCCTGACTATATAAGTGGGTACGCTACACAATCCATTGGATTAACATTTTGGAGAAAGATTAATAGTATCATAATAAAGTGATATTAGAATCAAGCTTGAGTTTGTCCAGTCAGTAGGCTTCTACGGTAGGCCACCCATAATGAAGGCATCATAGATTGGTCTGGAGAGCTATCATACCTCACATTGGAAGGATTTAAGAAGAATCCTAACTATATAAGTAGGTATATTGTACATCTCACTAGATTGACTTTTTAAAAAGAGAGTAATGAACTTGGGACACTTAACTTTTTGCATTTTTGTTTGTTTATGCTTTGGAACTAAATTTCCCAACATTTTGTAACGAACAGGCTTAATGGAACTTTTGGATTTGATTGGGAAATACAAAATAATGGGCCAGGGGATAATATTGGGCTATGTAGTAATGGGCTTGGGAGTATGATGACGCTATTAGTGAGAGTCACTTTCCTTTCTGTACGACTTTCTTCTTCCCTCCGTGCTTCTTCTTTTGCTGCACTCTTCTGTCACTTTCCTTGCTTGCTAATTTCCTCAAGCTGTAATAGAACTTTATGTCAGTGGCCATTTTGAGTAACTTCTTTGTCTGTTTTATGTATTCGTCACTGAGAAATTGAGGCAATAACACCATTATCCAACATATTTTGTGTTCATATTTTGCTATTAGATTGAGAACGTTACATAACATTTGGTTAGTTAATATTCACTTTTAGGCTTACAATTGAGGATTTTTTTAAGGCTCAAATATTTAATCTAAATTCATTTGTTAAGTTGAATTTTCATTTAAATTGGTTTAGCCCATATACACCCATTCTTTTTTTTAAAAAAAAAAATAAATCCACTAATCTCAAAGTTTAAGCTGTCACTTAAAGACCCATAGACAAATTAAAACTAATAATAATGAAGAAAATTTATGTGTTGCAGGTGGCTTGTGCAAGCTGAAGAATCTAAAAGTATTGTCTCTCGGCCGCAACAAGTTTGAGGGTCACCTTCCTTCATGCCTCAATAATTTGACATCTCTTCGGGTGCTTGACCTTCAATACAATGGTTTTGAAGGACCCTTCCCTTCCTCACTCTTTCATTCTCTAAAGTCCCTCAGATTCATTTCTTTAGAAGAAACCTATTTCACTGGCATAGCATCGCTTTCTTTGTTTGCCAACCACTCCAACCTTCAACTCTTCTCGATCTCGTGTTCTAATAACCCCAATCTCAAGCTTGAAACTGAAAATCCTCCATTCATCCCTTCCTTTCAATTACTGATTTTTAATGTCATCCAATGCACTATGAATGAAGGAAGAAACAACAGAAGTAGCATACCCTCTTTTCTTCTTCATCAATATGACTTGAGAGTTCTACAGCTTGGCTATTTGAACATTTCAGGAAGTTTCCCGAACTGGCTTTTGAAGAACAACACAAAATTAGTTTCTTTTAAGGTTGGCCACAACTTCTTGACTGGTCCTTTTGAGCTTAACTCCACCTTAAGATTTATGGATATGCAATACTTTGATGCTTCCTCTAACCCCATTAATGATGAAATCCCTCCTCATGTTGGATCTATTTTTCCCAACTTGCTTTCTTTGAACATGTCTTCAAGTTCATTACAAGGTGGATTTCCAGCTTCACTGGGTGACATGAAGCAATTGAACTCACTTGACTTGTCCAATAACAATTTGTCTGGCTATTTGCCCCAAGAATTTGGTAAGGGCATCAATGACTTGAGGATTTTAAAGTTGTCAAACAACAACTTAATTGGCCCATGTTTACCAGTTGGTTCAAATTTCACCCATTTGTTGATTGTGGATCTAAGCAGCAACAACTTCACAGGAAAAGTACGAGAAGGGATGATTAACAGTTTGGAATTAAGAATGCTGGATTTAAGTACAAACCAACTATATGGTGAAATTCCTAGCTGGATTGGAAACTTCAAGCATTTGGGTTACCTCATTTTGTCACAAAATTCTATGGCAGGTCCAATACCAAAAAGCTTTTGTAATTTAGCCGAGCTTACATATCTAGACCTTTCACAAAACAAAATCAATGGCACTTTGCCAAATTGTCTAAATATGCCATCACTGAGGTACTTGCATTTACGGAGCAATCATTTTATGGGATCCATACCTTCTGTCTTGGCCAAATCATCCTTGCTGTTAACTTTGGATTTGACAAAGAATAAATTTTCAAGTCAAATTCCAAGGTGGTTTGAGTCAATGTTGAATTTAAGGGTCCTCCTCCTAAAGGATAACAAACTTGAAGGATCCATTCCTATGGAAATGTGTAAGCTCAAGAACATAAGTATACTAGATCTTTCACAAAATAAGCTTTCTGGAGGGATACCACATTGCTTAAATAACATCACATTTACAAAGAAGGATCATATGGATGGAACCTTATTAGGAAAATTTTTTGTCCCTTGGACAACAAGAGGCCCGGTATTTTACTTTAATTACACAAGCGGTGATCTTGTTCATGATGAATATGAAAGAAATTCTACATTGTATGAGCAACAAGAAGTGAACTTCATGTCCAAAAACAGGTATGAATCATATGAAGGAAAAATATTAGATTTTATGTCCGGCCTAGATCTCTCAAATAATCAATTGACAGGTGAAATCCCTTTAGAAATTGGATACTTGAACAATATTCATACATTAAATATGTCAGACAATTATTTGACTGGGCCAATTCCAGAAACATTTTCTGGCCTTATGCAAATTGAGAGTTTAGATCTTTCATACAACAACTTGACAGGCCATATTCCTTTCCAACTTACACAATTGTACTCTTTGTCTGTATTCTCTGTGGCTCACAATAATCTATCCGGGAAGACACCTGACATGAAGAATCAATTTTCAACTTTTGATCCAAGTTGTTATGAAGGGAATCCTTTTCTTTGTGGTCCTCCTCTACAACAAAAGTGTTCATCTATTGATAATCCATCAGGGAGAAACATACAACCACATCATTCAGAGGAAGTGGGCTTCCAAGATGCCTTCTTATGGACCTTTTCAGGAGCATTTGTAGTTTTCTTTCTAGGTGTCATTACCTGCTTGTATTTCAACTCCTACTTTTATAGTTACAAGTAAATTGGAAGAGAATTGTGTTAGTATTTCTAGTGTTGATTATTTCAAACCTTAAAGAGGGTTTTGCAGAGTTTGAAGAGCATATTTTACAAGAGTTGACATGAAGAAAAGACTCAAGCCTATGTTTATTATCATTATAATTAGAATCTTCCTTTTGTAAATGATTAGAGCTTTGTTACTCAAGTTTGAATGCTCAAGTGAGTTTGTACTCCTTTAATACTGTATACCATGACTTGAAAAAAATTTCAAAAAATTTTGAAATTATTCTAAGACAAATCTTTCTGTGTTGCATCTTTAGTACTCAAAGCATTGCTTTTGACTTCCAAGTATCTCTTTAAACTTATCTTTTGTCTCTTAACAAATTAAACTATTTTGATTAGTTTTTCTTATTCAAGTATTAAGAGAAGTACTTGACTATCCCGCTTCGGCTTTTGGCTTGAAATACATCTATATGAATGCTAGTTAATTACTATAATTTCTGCTCAGAGCATAGATGGTTAAAACACAATAAGTAATTGATAATTGGTTCAAGAATAGTTGAGTATTTCTTTTTTAAGGAAAATCATTATTCAAATAGTTGCTTTGTATCTCAGTTCACCTTCTCAGAGCTCGATGGTCAATTACCATGAACTATACTTGATTACACATATTCTGATGTGCTATATATGTTTGCTTCTTTTAAAATATTATTCAAACACAATCTTCATTATTCAACTATCAGTGATGGTCAAACACCAAAAGTTTCAATAAATTCAATAATTTCCTTCCAACATTATCACTATGAAAATTTTGTTATAATAAATTTGAAATTTTAAAATCAATACTCTACATGTAAAAATCCCTCAAAAGTCATAACTCAATGTTCCATCAAATATACAATCCCCCATTAAACTTTTTGTCAAAACCCCAAATGTACATTATTTCCAAATCCTACAGTAAAGCATTTTAATATTCTAATCTCTTATCACATAATTCATCAACAACCATTTATTTCTGAGAATTCAAATAGTTCCATGCTAATTTCACACTCAAATTTCCCTTGCAATCTTCAATTTAAGTTTATAAAGTAATAGCACTCAAATTGAAAATACTACTCACAAGTATCAATGAAATTTCAAAAATATACAAAATCAAATAGAGTTTCTTCTCATAGACATCATGTCAAATACCTTCCATTCACTAATTCTTAAACTCAAACCAAACTTCTTCCTTTTTGATTCCATCTCCTAACAATTTACAATATAAGCATTTAAATCAAACAAAATCCCAAATTCCATTTCTTCCAACAGGAATATCATTCTTAATTCCATAAAAAATCAAACTGATTAATTACCATCTTGCTCTAACACTAAAATTTCAGCTTGAATCAATTTATCATCCTTATTCAGACATTCACAATAGCAGAAAAATAAAGCATCACAACTTCAGTCATCAGGCACACGCGCACACAGAAACGATAAAAGAGAAGTGGACTCAAGACCTCTATACCTTCGTTCACATTGGCAGACACAGGGAGAAAGGAACGACGGCAAGTGCAGGCGAAAAGAGCGACGGCCAACAAAACGAACCTCTCACAGCCAAGAATTAACTCCCACAGCACAACACTAACAGGGGAGGGAGAAGAACACTGAGCAAAGGGAAGGGAAGAGGAATGTCGACGGCACCAAAGAAGAAGCAAAAGAGAGAAAACTCACAACTCAAACCCATGAGGTGGCAGACGGAGCCTCTGAGCTCTCCCCGGCAGCGGCGGCGAGCCACAGTCGAAGAGGAGGAACACGCACTCACCACGACCTCAATGAAGGTGAGCAGAGCAACGACGGTGAAGCAGGGGAAGGACTCGCGGCAGGTTGTCACAGCAGCGGCGAACAACTCCGGCACCTGTCGACGGCGACTCGGCGAGTTAAATGGAAGAAGAAGGTCGGAAATCTGAATGAAGGGTAAGGGTTTTCGTACACTTGTCACTGCTGCAAATCAGAGCAAGATCAGAGTGCAAGCAGAATGAATGAAAGGGAAAAGAGAAGCTGAACGCGTGTATCTCGTCCTGATTCCTCTCCAGTCTCCATATTAATTTTTGTAAGGGTAAAATGGTAATTTCGTTCAAAACAGGCTAAAATCAAAATAAATATTCCCCTGGCAAGACCAGGATTTGATTTTGAACAGTGAACACTAGACACTTTAAGCGAGAGCAATGAATAATGAAAATGCAATGAATAATGAATAATGCAATAAATTTATCTTATTACCATTCTACTTTTTATACTCATTTTTTGGATTGTTACAATATGGTGAGTTGATTACTAGTTATTTCTTACTCAAACATGAGAGGCTTTTGATTTCTTGCTTTCAATACTTCATTAATATTTTTCCAGTATATATTTGACTATCGTGTTTCTGTATAAGTTGGGACTTTTTTTTTTTTAATGTATATTAATACTTGACTACTAGAACTTGTTTTTCCTGACAAGTGCATGTAATACACCCCAACAGCAACGGCAAGTTCTTGTGAATAATGTCTAGAATTCATGCCTAACATACAGCTACATAATCTAACAAAAACTACAAATAGAAGCCTTATTCAATCCTGCATTTATCTTGAGTTACACAGTTCTAACTACCTCATATACTGTGTTTCATTGTAGAGTCCAATCTCTTGAGAGAGACTCATTCTGTTGTAAAACATTTAATCATGATTCTTGTTTAGTGTTCGCAAGGTTGTGGGAACTTTAAGAGGGGGTTTGCAAAACACCCAGGTGCGAGAAATGAGGATTTCACAACTCGAAATGTTGTCTTGTGGTTCGAACCAAACCAGTAGTGTAAATTTTTGGTGCAACTCTACATTGTAATTAATACAAGTTATGACGGATGAAATAACTCGAAGATGAAAGAAAGTAGAGCAATGTGGGCAAGCCACAGTCACAATAATGAGAGATTAGTTTAGGTATTTGATTCTCTGTGATAAGCTAAAAGCCTAATTTTTTTTTTTTGAATTATGTTTGATCCGTTTTAGGCAAATATTATATATTTTTCATGTTACTAATTTTTGATATTACACATTGATATATGTATGATTGTCTAATTATGTTGATCTACAATAGTATATCAGTAACATGTTATTATATATCATTGATATATTAGCCATATCAGTGAAAACTTACTAGCTTGTTTATTATTGATATACAGACGTATATAAATAATATAGTATTGTATATTAATAACATGAAAAACACATAATAACTTGTCAAAAATAGATCAAATACGATCCACAAAAAATTAAAATTGATGGTAAGGCTACTGAGATTAGATTTGTGCTTTGATGCATTTAAGAATCATTCAAAGAAACCAATTTGGAGCCTGCTTTGTGCAAGAGTTCATACCATATCACATGAGAACATTCCATTCCTAAGGAGATCATATTTATGCTTGAAGCATTTATTTTAATTCTTCTTTTAACTCCTCTATGTTCTGCAAAAGCTACTGCCCCTTCATTTTGGATAAAAATATTATTTGACACAAGCTTCATTTTTTTTTTTTCTCCCGTTACTTATAAAGATAAACTAAATTGTTCTGCAAGGGAAGACTTGTGGACTTACCCCTAACCCAATAGAAACATCGGCCTCATACAGAGGTAAACAGATGCAAAAATACTTTCGTTATCAACATGTATTTCAGATGAATGCTTCTATTAAGATGAAGGAAGCGATACACATGCCAATTCACCAGATTCAGAAAACACAGGTTTCTGTAGAAAAGAAAAACGAAAGAGGGAAGAAGATCTGAAGGAATGCCGATAGAAGATGCAGGATTCAAAACAAACTCAGAAAAATAGATCAACAAACTACTAAGAAATGAAGAACATTGATCCATACTACATAAGGGAGATGAGGTGGAAATTCTGAAAATAAAAAAACCAAAGTAGAAAATAAATATGCAAAAATGGAAATCTCACCCCGTCAGCAAGATAATTTTTTGAGAAAGGTCAAATAGCAGGCTGCAACTTGGGTTTCCATTTTCATCAAATAGGCACCACAAAATTCACACATTACATTCCAGCAGTTAAACAAGTGTTGAGCTAAATTCCTTTGGCTAAGATAATATCTGCAAGTGGCGAGAAATCTGTAAGATGAATATAATATTGAGGTTTGCTGAAGTAATTGCACAAATAAACTGAGTGTAGAAATCAAATAAGTTGTAGTCCAATCTTGAGAACAATATTTGGTTATTCCTTTAAAATACTACCCACTTTTAAGCATCTATTGATCACAGGCATATGTTCATAATATATATGTACAAAAGAAATATCACTATTCTTTCATATTCAAATACATCTCTCTCACATCTAATATCATATAATATGTAAAGAATAAATAATAAAGAGTAGTTTAGTTAGTTGGGGGTTAGTTAGATTTTGTTAGAATAAGGGGATGAACGAGCCTATATAAGGGATCCTAAGTGTAGTCAGATAATATGCAAAATTGAAAATACTGGATATAGTTCAATTCTCCCTATTCTCTATTTCCCTTTCTCTCTCGTCTCTTATATCTTCCTCTCTCTCTCTCTCTCTCTTATTTTCTCTTCTTTCTTCCTCTTTCCTTCTCTTTCACTCCTTTGTTTCTCACTTTCTCTTCTTCCAATCGTAACATATCCCCTCATGAATGGTCTGTTATGATGCGGCATTCCCTCATCATTTATCACTTTATATTGATCTACAGAACAAAATTAACATTGACTAGCAAAGAATATAAGGTAAAGGGGCAAAAATATCCACAAAGTGGTCAATCAAGGGCATCTAATGTCCTAAAGTGAAAAAAAGGACATAAATACCTATAACATTATGTGAGTAGATGTAAAAGTAACCAAACCGTTAACTTTAACATAGCGTCATTAACTTTGACTGTTAAATGCTGATAGTGCGAGCCACGTGTCAATCTTTACTAATGTAAACTAATAAAAAGGCAAAAATACCCATGAAGTCGTCAACCAGGAGCAAAAATACCCATAATGTTACCAGAGTCGATGCAAAAGTGATCAATCTATCAAATCCCTTAAATGTTGACAATTTAGCTAACACTTAAGGAGAACCTGACCAATTTTTTGCTGACATGGACAAAAAATATTTATAGATGAAATTCTTTAGAGGTTAATCAATCATTATATGAAAATCATGTGAGAAAATATTATTTTGACCAAATATCAAATTAAATTGCTTGTTTTTTTTTTTATAGTAGTGGTGAAAACCATTTGAAAATTTTAAACCTATTATAAATTACTTAAGGTTGTGATAATGTTCTTAAGGTAGGGCAGCGTAGGAGGTGTGCTCAATCTCGATCATTGTATACAACCTATCTCCCTATGTTGAATCTTAGGTTTTGTAGATAAGAAAAAGAGTGGAGAGGGAGGGAGGGTGCAGGATACGTGGTAATGGAAAAAAACTATATGGCATGAATTTTAACATCATACAATTATCGATTAACCTCCACAAAAATTGATCTAGAAATTTTTTTTGTCTACATCAATAGAAAAATAGTCAACTTTTACTTAAATGTTAGCTAAATGGTCAACATTTAAGGGATTTAATCAATTGATCACTTTTACACTAACTCCGATAATGTTATGAATATTTTTGCTTTTGCCTGATAATTTTGTAGGTATTTTTGCCCCTTTATTAGTCTATATCACCAAAGGTTGACACGTGGTATGCACAGTCAACATTTAATGGTTAAAATTAATGGTTTGGTCATTTTTGCACCCACTTATATAACGTTATGGGTATTTATATCCTTTTCTTCATTTTAGGATACTGAGTGCTCCTAACTAATTACTTTGTAAGTATTTTTGCCCCTTTATCCAAGAATATATTACATGAATGAAGTTACAGCAAAGAGTATTTATGAGATTGATTGATTGGTGCCATGCTTGACAACTTTCCCTGGGTTTGATTTAATCATCAGGAGTTGCATCCCAGCCATATGGGTAATGACAAGCTAGAAACCACAAAGTGCTTCCTATTAAACTTGGGGTGCTTCTTTACTTGTAGGATGAAAACAATGTCTCCTACAATTGTGTCAGGCTGTAAGAGGAAAACATACACAATTAAATTGATGTCTACAAGCTCAAGCTGGCCATCTAAATATAATTTACAAAATACATTGCCAAACCCAAATAATTTCAAATTTTGCTTACAGCTTGCCTTTCAAGCCTAGTCTTGTGACTTTATTGCATCCCTTTGTCGACATGCACCTCTAGCACCTCTTTCTGAGTGACTTTAAATAAAAGAGAAATTCAGAGTAAAAGAAAATAAAATATAAGTCAGACATGCCTCGATTAAGCGTTTTAAATAGATAAAACAGAGAAATAAGCCCACTCAGTCCTGTAGCGAAAAAAAGTAGAAAAGAAACGAAACAAAGCTTCTGAAACTTCAACCGCAGATTACATCAATACAAAAAAGCAAATTGCTTATATCTAGAAGAACATCATCAAAAACATGGAAGAGGACATTCATTCAGTCTAATGGAACTCTGCAAATAATTATTTAAATCCCCGGTTAACTGAGGTACGAGCAGGGGGAATAAAACTTCAACTTAGGACGAGCGCGTGATTAGAAATCTAAATGGAAAACAAAATTGATTAGCTTGATTGATGAAGAACTTATAACTGGGTTGATAACAAATGCCAAAGAACTGCAATCGTTGATGAGCGCATAAAACTTAATAAATGGAATAATTTGAAGGAAATAGTCAAAAGTGTATGATGTAATAAAATGAAAACGGAAGAAAGGATATATAAAACCTGATCAATGGTGAAATAACAGAGGAATCCAAAAAAGGAACTGATATGAT